AGGAAGTTCTTAAGCCTGTCCTTTTAATTGCAGTTTAATACAGCAAGAAAAACTATAGATAAGGGAACTGAGAATCAGAGACACCAGCTAAGTTGCTCCAGATTGCACAGTTAATGAGACAAGCAGCTGGTACCAGCCCAGGACTTTCTCAGGTTGGGCTTCTTTTCTTAGAGCTCCTTCCTGCAGAATGGACCATGCATATTCAATGGAAGAAAAACCCTGCTGCTTGGTGTGCTTGCCTATTCCTTAAGGCTGGACCTGCCAGAGGACTAAATGTTCCTGCTTCCAAGGAGAAAGCCTTGGCCGCAATGGATTGGCACACTCGGGTGTGCCTTCCTGTGCATTAGCATTTCCCTGCAAAGGTGTGAGCTTTCTCTGGACCTGCCAGAGGACTAAATGTTCCTGCTTCCAAGGAGAAAGCCTTGGCCGCAATGGATCGGCACACTTGGGTGTGCCTTCCTGTGCATTAGCATTTCCCTGCAAAGGTGTGAGCTTTCTTTCTTTCTTTCTTTTTTTAATTCAATCATTTTTGTCTATATTTTGTAAAAGGTTATCCTCTTTCATCATGGCACTAAACAGCTGTTTCTTACATTGTTTTCCTTGCCCAGCCTCCAGCCTCTCTGAATAATTAGCAACCAGTTAACATTCAGTAGCACTTCTAGAAAATGTTGGGCTTCTATTTAACAAAAGGTCTTGAAAGTATCCTTTTTCCCATCTAATGATTACAGAATAACAATATCTCAACCTTGGCAGCATCAGGACTGCTTATCGCCTATGGTTATTTGAAGATCCCTGGGTTGGTCACTGGTGATTGTGTTTTCTTTCTCTTCTGTCCCTCCGTGTATGTGTCTTTTTGGCCAGATAACTTCTCTGAGTTGGAGGTTTCCTCCTGTGTGGAATGGGATCTGATTAAATGAGCTGATGTGTCCCTGATGTCCTAAAATCTTTGGCGCTGGAATCGGCACCTGGCACAGGCTAGCTCTGTCCTCAATTTGGCCCCTATGACCACCCTCCCTTTCCCAGACAAACTGGTGTCAGAAAGAATCAACCAACAGCACAATAAATAATTGATCTCCAACATGTGCTTCTAATTCAAATAAAGGGTGTCTAACCACAGTGAATATTGCATGTGATTGAAGAATTTTATGTGGAAATTTGAAGCTTTCTGATAACATTCTGTAAGGAGATTTCACAGTGACTAAACCTCTCAGGGCTTTGTCTGTCTCAAGTTCAAGTTACTTAGATAGTGATTAAGGATGTTTTATAGGCCCCTGTGGTAAATAATCACGCTGAGAAAAAAACATTCCTTGGCTATGTAACTTAGCAAGACTTAATCTATTTGTTTGGGTTTTCATCCATCAGGCTTGCTGAAATACTTTAAATAATTAACCTGTTTCTCTACAGCCTGAGGGGTCTCCAAAGTTTCTATCCAGGGCCTGAGATGAGTGATTACCTTATACAGATTGCCTCATTTATTTGCAAGGCTCTCAATCTGAGTCCAGCTGCTTTTTCTTGGGATGACAGGCAGACTCTAGATACAGTATCTTTTTACTTTACAGTATTTATAAAATAGAATAAATCAATGAGACCAAACATCAAAAGGCAATAGTTTATTTAACTTTATTTATTTATTTTTATTTTCTCTGCTAGGTACTCAACAACTGAGAGTCTATTGGACTTAGAAACATTTAGGAGTGTTGGCTTAAGTCTCCAAACTCTGCACCACGGATCCCAAACCACAGGCATGGACATTCCCAAGGAAAGGAGCTCAGCATGGCCAGATGAGGCAAGAGGCCACTTGACCCCTGCCAAATCTCATAAGACCATGTAGTCATATAAGGAGTGTGTAAAGTTGCTCTGGTATACTAGGATCGGTGAACAAAGCTCTTGGGAATTCACTCAGAGATAAGGTTTTTCTTACTGAAGAAAAGCTCCAAAGCAATGCAGACTAGTGATGTTTTCCCTGCAACACCATGATTATGTCCCTGCAGGAAAATGCTCCCAGTTGGGGGACCTTAGTTGCCCTCTGCCCACAGATTTATCTGAACTGAGTCTCTGTTTCCAGCTCAAAGACCTCACATTCAGAGAAACCTGTACAGAGAATTTGCCAAGTGCCCACCGTGCTGCTTAATCTGTCTGTGTTCTGTGTTACCCTATTCATATTTTGTGTGTGGTGCCCAAAGTTTTGTTTTTCTCCAGAGTATGGGTCATAGCACTCCTTTAAAAGTGAAAGTGAGAGAGAGGCCACAATGATTTTAAAATTGGGCAGGGCTTTGTGATTTATAGGGTACCATGAGTGTGCAGGCGTGGTTTCTAAATCCACAGGCAAAGCTTCCCTCCAAAAAAACACAGGACTTTACAGATGCCTTGCCGTACTATTAAGCACAGAAGAATCAACGCTTGGACGGATGAGACTAACAGACAAAATTATCTTAGACTGGGTAAATTTGGTACCTAATCATTTAAATAGATAGGGGTGGCCCAAAGAACCTTTTTGCACATATCCTGAGCAATTCAGAAATAATGAAATACAAATAATTAAAATAAGAATCTAGGTTTCTTGGTGTGTATTAAAGTCCCCTTGAGTGTTCTAACTGATGCAGTTAGTCTTGCTGGGGGCTTCTGAGACAGTATTAGCAGAGTTCTTTTTTGCCTAAGTGTACGATGCTTGCTCTGCCAGGGTCTCCATGGATTTCAGACGGCTAGCCCTAGTGAAAATCCCAATAAAACATGAACGTAATTCTGTTGGGAGAAAGGAAGAAAATAAAGGGTAGCCTTTTAGCAAGGTCACCCGGCCATCAGTGTCTCAGAGGGATTTCCAGGCCAAAAGCAATTCTGTTGTGTTTGTTTTACAATAACAGCGGCATTTCCTCAACTCCCCAGAAAATATGTCGTTTCCACAGTGACCAACTCCTTCGAACGTCACGTGCAAGTACAAGTTGGATCTACACTGTACATCATGTTTTTTTGTTTCTTTGTTTACCAGCCTTGCTTTTTGGATAATTCCCTTTAGATGTATTGCTTACTGTGTCAGTTAGAAATCATATTGACTTTCATTTATGCAGGAGAAGTCTGCAGATATGCAATCTAGGTCTTCAGTCTTTCCTTTCTCTCCATTTTTCCCTTGTCTCAGGAGATGGCTGTAAGAGCATCAGCTACCATGTCGGGGGTCCAGATGGGAGAAGGGTGAACAGGGAGAGTAAAAGGGACGTGACAGCTAAGTCAGCCACTGTAAAAGAGCTTTCAGGCTGGTTTGCTAACTGGTTGGGACTCAGTGTCAATTGCACCAAGGTCAAGATTTCAGATCTCCATAAGAGCCAGCCACAAACAAAAAAATATATATATTAAAAATAAAGAAATCTTTTGTAAAAGCCACACTCAGAGATTTCTGCTGACATCTTACAGGCCAGAACAGTGCCACATAACTCCCTCTACCTCAGCCACAAAGTGGACCAGGAAGCATAGATGTAAATTATTTTTATACCTTGAGCACACTATTGTCCCAGCTAGCAATGTGTTAATCAAAAAGAAGCACAGAATTGTCTATTTGTTGAAACAGAAATTTAAAACATCCACCTCACTGTTTCATTATGGGGATTAAGTACACCTGTGTGAAGCACTTGATCGTGCTGGATGAGCTGGCGGTGCATGAAAATAGTATTCTCTTCCCCCTGCCTGGGCTTACTCACTCCTCAAGGGTCCTGTTCCCTCACTGTAGCACACGGTGGGGCAATGCCTTGATGCCACAGTTGTTTTCCATCTAGTTAACTCCACCAAGTAGTTTCATTCTTAGAAAGAAAATCAATGGTGTAAAAAAAAATATTCAACCTAATTCTCATCATTGACAGTGCATTGGATACTAGAAATGGCATTTTGCACAGAGACTTCTTGCAATGTTTATAGGAGCAACTAATTGTTATTTCAGAGATAGTTGTTCTACAAGCTGTTAAAAATCCATAAAAATGGTGTACCATGCTGTCTGTGTTCTAATTATACGAGGCAGCATACTCATTTTTGGTGCACTGCACCCGATGCTGACCACATCAGCAAACAGAGTTTACACTCCCAGGAATGTAAGTATATGCACACACTTTTTGCATTATTTTAAGATCTTTATTATTTAGTAACTCACTGGGGGTGCCAAAATATGTTATAAATCTACACAGAAAATTAGAGATAAATATTACATGGGAATGCAGATTTTGCATTCTACTCTGGGTACGAGGATTTGATTGTGGAGGTACATAGCACAACAGAATGTACTTGATTGGACACTGATGCCTCTATTCTGATATTGACAGGGCAAGCATCATGGAACCAAAACAAAGTGAAATGAAACTAGATGTGTGAAACTAAAAAAGAAAAAAAAAAGAGCATTTTTGTTTGTTGTCATGGTGATTCTTTTCTACTTAGGAAACTGTAGTACTCTAACTTAGCCAAGTAACTGCTATTACAAAATCCGAAACTACGGTGTGTGCATAATTTAAAGAATGGAGTTTGCATTCCTAAAGCAAAAAGTGCATTACTTAGATCTCTGATATTAAGCTGCAGAACAGTTTTGCAACTTGTGACCTGAACAAATCTCTTCTCCATAAAACAATAGGAATGAAAGTGTTGCACATATGCATTTAAAAAGTAACTTTATTGCTTCTAGGCAAAAGAAAGAGGCAAAGGGAGAAAGGAAGACAGAAAGAAAGGAAGGTGAAAGGAAGGAAGTGGGAAGGTGGGAAGAGAAAGAAGAAAAAAGAAGAAAATGAAAGAAAGAAAAGCATACCTTTATATTTTACTTTTATTGGTAATCTCAAACTATGTGATTCAGTTCAGTTTATTGATGTAATTTAATTTAAATTGAGTTGGGGGAGAAGAGAGATTTTTCAGAAAAAGCAAAAACTGTTTGTGTATATATATATATATTTAGATAAAATAAACAAATGAAAACTGCATACACTTTTTGTCAGCTCAGCAACAATGTAGGAAAAAAACACAAATAATTCTGAATGTAGGTAATAACTCTTCAATTTATAAAGCTTAAAGTGATTCCTCACTCATAGGTGATTGGATTTGTGCTTAAAGTAATCGTGATTAACATTGTTTAACATGGAAATAGAGGATACAAATTTATCCCGTGTCCTAAAATTTACGCAATTCCATAGCACTCAAATTATCTACTTAATGCATATTCAAATCACCTTAATTGTATTGTGTTTCCCCAAATCATTCACTTAAAGGATTGTTCCAAGTTGAATGAAAGATTCTTAAAATTCACAGCTAGCTTCATTTATGTCTTGTAAGGTGATCGAGACAAGAAACATACATAACTGCTTCTGGGTACAAATAAATACCTCCCTCCCCATCTCAGCCCCCTAGAAAGGGTTCAAGCTCTCATGTAGCAGCCAATGTTGCAGTCTTTCAGGACACAGGCAAACAGGTTTTCTCTCGAAGGGTCTGAGAGTGTTTATCCAGTTCCTCATCCCATCTCTGCAATCCTGTCCCTTTATCATGTCTTTGAAAAAGGTGAGAAGTGGGCATAGACAAGTCTCTTTGTCAAAGAGCCTAGAAGGGTCACAGTTGCCTTACTTCTGCCTTCCATTTGTTGGTGGCAACCGTGGCATTTAAGACATAAATACTCTTCTAAATGATCATGTCAACTTTTCTTCTGCTTCATGGGTTACAGAAAAAAATTACCTGGTCCATGTGACATTGTCAATTTCTTACAGCTACTACCCCTGACTGCTGCTATCAAGACACTATGAGACATGGTGACTCAAACCGACCAGTTGATTTCCCAGTTACATAGCTCAACACGACTATCTACTCAATGCATATTTTGCATATCTTAGTTAGATGACATGATGCTTTTTATAGGAAATCATTCATTATATTTACCAATTTTGATATACTTAAAAATGTATTATTCATACTGGCTTATCTGTCTTCCTTTTTTTATTTATTCCAGCATCCCACCTTTGTTCCTCATTATTGAATATTGCTCCTCCAATTTAACATACAAGTATATGAGATAATAAAAGATGAAATTTAATCAATTAGGTTTCTTAATAGCATTCCTAATACAAAATTGGCTAGCAAAAAAATTTTAAGAATTGAAAACTATGAAATTTTTATATTATTTTTTACCAAGTTTAACCTACTCTGCTTACCCACCATCTCCATAAAACACAGCTGAAACATTTTTAAGAAGCAATGTTTACAACTACTTGCCTTACATTCATTGGCTGGGGGGTAAAATGATTGAGTGGTAGCCTTCTTAACTCTAATTTAGGACTACATTTGGGATTCTACAGAAATTCTATTTAAAGTCAGCACAGCTTTCTGATAAGGTGCTTCCTTACACTCATCCGTGGCAGAAGTGGTGGTATGTTCGGGGTTTTCACAGCTGCTAACAATGGCAACTGCACTGAATGACCTTCGTCTGACCTTGGCATCTGACGTGCAGGATCCTCGAATTGGCGGGACTTTTTCCACGTTGTGGAGCTGCTGGTCTTTCCAGTCCAATTGTTTGGCACTGCAAAACGGGGCATATACTTCAACACTTCCCTCAAACTGTAAGCAGTTCACTTTATAGTACTTTCTTTTGACTTCCAAGACATCATTAAACCTGTGGCCCCAGAGAATTTCTCTGGGAACATAGGAGCTTCTAGATTGATGGGATGTCCCAGTGGAGTCACCAGTATAGATAAATGTCACCAAAATCTCAAAGTTATCTTTGGCCACTGCTTTCCGGTCAAGGGCATACAGAGGGCTCTCTTGATCAATTTCATGAACAATAGTTACAGGTGTGACGAGGATGATCTGGTCATTGACTAATTTGAGGTCTTTAAAAGCCATTGTCATCCTCCCTTCATTGTCTTCTGTGTAGCGGAGAAGTTGGGCTCTCACTGTTCCTTCTACCACATGGTTTGGTCGGAAATCACCAATGCGCCACATGAGACAAAGCTTCCCATCTCTCATGCCTATGAGTGCAAAATAGCTAAAACGGATGGTCTGGGCTCTCTTTCGAGCCGTTGCCATTTTGGCCAAGGCAGCTCCAATGATGAAGGTATTTATGATGCAACTTAGGATAGACTGAAGGATTACCACGAGCACTGCCACAGAGCATTCTTCAGTGACACAGCGGTAGCCGTACCCTATGGTGGTCTGGGTCTCAAGGGAGAATAAGAAAGCCCCCGTGAAAGAATGGACGTTGTCCACACAAGGTGTGATGTTCGGATCATTTAACAGGTCTCCATGATGAAAGGCTATTAGCCAAAAGATGGAACCAAAAACCAACCAAGAGAGAATGTAAGATAAAGAAAATATCACGAACATATGGCGCCACTTGGTGTCCACAAGAGTGGTAAAAATGTCGACCACATAACTCCCCCATTCTCCAAAAATATGCTTAAAATACACATTACAGCTGCCATCTTTGTGGAGCAGACGTCTTCTCGTCCTTCTCTTCTCAGCTATAACGTGCTCTGGTGGGTAGCCTGGGTATTTGGGGTCCACATTCACAGTCTGATAACTGCTGCCGTAATAGCTCATTCTGTCTTGTGCCTTTGGGGCATCCAGTGGGGGGTGGGGGGGTTGTAGTAGTAATAGTTCTCGGTGTGTTGCTATTTCTTGGTTTGGATTTTCAATTAGAACCTAAAAAAAATAATAATAAGCACACTTTAGCTTCAGCTTTCAATTTTTATCTCTATAGCAATTTTCCAAATTTGGAGAAATTTTATGCTATGTAAAATAGATACAACTTCATTTGAAAGATAGAAACACTCAGTACTGATTACTCATTTAAGTTTAGAATTCGTCTCAGTCATTATAAGAACAAAATATGCAATTAGAGAAAATAACATTTTTTATATATGTATGATGCTTGACTAAACACTGTGATTATCCCAAATGACACTTCACTACCTTTTCGGAACTGACGTAAAAACGTTTGCTTTATTTTTGTAGACTCTTCTTGCATGAGGGCATTTAAAAAGCAAAGCAATTTATAATATAAAAAGGCAAAATAAATTCAGGTAATTATCTAGCAATCTTATAAGCTTTCTAACTGTTTAAGTTAGATCATTTTCCTTAAAAGAAAAATGCAATGAATAATTTCTTTCTCCATGTTACAATGTAACTTACACACTCGTTGCTATAATAGGTAGTTCCTTCACCTTCAGCCACCTATTGCTCCCTCACTGTCCAACTGAGGAGGCTTTTCTTCCTTGTGTACTTTCCAGGAGAGGATAGAACAGAACTGACAGGGGCACCTGCTCCAGATAAACTCCTTTCCCCCTAGCTCCACCTTTAGTCTTGAGAGGAAAAAGCCTTTAACCCCAGAGGAGTTCAAACCACTCCCAGGAAAGCTTTCAGTAAGGTGTACAATTGCTTCTGGCTTTGTCTCATAACATTCACCCTTTCTTTCTTTTCTTTTCTTTTTTTTTCTTTTTGACCCTGGTACCTCTTCTGTTTCCCTCCAAATAGACTCCGAAAATTTGCCAAAGTTGCTAATCTTGTTTCCCTCTTAAAGGGAGCATACTACAATTGAACCCCTCTTTCTGACTCTTTGGTGTTTTCCTAAAGCATTCACAGCCATTCCTGGGGAAAATAATTTTCTTCCTTCAAATTCATTCTTAAAAAGATCAAGGCAGACATACAGTTCTTATCATTTTTTAGCATCCGTGGTATATAGACCTACAGATTTCCCAGCTCAAGACTGAAAGTAAAGTTGAAAAGTGCGATGTCAAAATTTGGTTACTTCTGTACAAAAAAAGAGAGAAATAACAGCTGCCCAATTTTAACGGATTAGTGATTATTAGAATATGTGTTCTACATAAACTACCTGTACTAGATGGGAGGAAGGGAGTGTGAGGCTAGAGGATCATGCCACTCTGTGGCATAGAAAATGCAGCAGGAGTAAATGCTGTTCCTGATAGTTGAGACTCCTAGGAAACAACCAGGGAAATTAGTCGCTAAATACTTATCCAGCGCCTTTCCTGCTGCAAAAGGGCAGGAAGAGTTAACTTTCTTCCAGTGAAAAAGAATCGTTTTTCTCCTTCTCCAGGGATCAGTCCCACTTTACAATACACTCTTTGTTTCCTGGACCACTTAGGAGAATGGACTCTGCTTACAGCCAAACACTTCTGTAAGACATGCATGGATTTCTCTCTGTCCATCTGCCTGCCCGTTGGCCGCTTCACCCAGCTCTCCTCCAGATCTGTTTAAATACTTCCATCCTCTCCTTTGTCAGCACTGTAACCATTTTTGAGAGAGACAACTGCACAATTTCAAGATGTGACCCAGGGATGCCCAAATGCTTACTGGAAAGTTGATCATAAACTATTTCCACAAATTTTCCCATAGAATCCACCATGCGTTGGCAGTTTCTGCCTGATTTGTCATTGAACGACACTTTTCAAACAAAAGAGGCTGCTATAGGGTTCTCCGTCTCCACTCTGTCACCTGATCATAGGAGACATGAGAATGAGACCAATTATATTCAAAGGGCTGTGGGATTCCAAATTAAAAAGCAGATTTGGAGATAGACTTGTTTTCTTGTTAAATGCTTCCAACCCAGTTTTTTAAAGGGAACTACACACATGATGGGAGGCCGAGAGTTAGAAAACACAGTTCATAAATCAAGAGCTACTGTGTGACTCTGCTCTTTTCTGCTGCCAAAGGGGGAAAAAAAAATATTTGAAATGGCATTCAGTTGGCATCATTTTGAATTCCAGTGGTACCAATAACTGTTATAAACAAGCCACTTCTAAAACACCACCCAAAGTGTGCTAATCAGTGAATGAATTTTCAATTAATGCAAGTTATAAGTAAGCAAATTTGACTATGTGGAAAATTTATTGCTGAATAAACAAATTACAGCTCTGAGAATATTGCCCCAAGCTCACCATGTCTTCTAATGTGCTTCATTATTGTGATCATTAATTTCAACTTATCTAGAGAAAAGCATTCAGATTCTGTTTAGGTTCATAGATTTTATTCATCTATTCTTCGGATCTTCTTATGTGAATAAATGATGCATTTTTTAAAAGACAATTGTCTTTAAGCTACAAGATAGATTATAACCAAACTAGTTGTGTTCTGTCGTACCTACTTCTCAGCCTACACTATAAGCAAAGAAGTTTATGGAGGGCTTTTTGTCAAAATGGCTAGACAAAATAAATATTCATCAGTCTCTTGTTTAGTACCTTGTGTTAATTTCAGCACTTTTACAACTGTTTACAATTGAATAATAGAAGATAACACTTGTCAATTGACTGGAATTCTATATTTAACATTTGTGTTTCTTAGGATTAGAATCCAGCCTGAAAAGTGCCTTAATGCTTTTAAAATTTTCTTGTTACTATAGATTCCACCATGAAAGAGCATTTACAAAGTTCCTACTTCTGTATTTATTTTTGCATGATGCTCTCTAGAAACAGACGGTGGCAATTTCATGAGTTTCAAATCTTCTTTTTTGGGTGGGGGAAGGGAATGGAAATTAGATCAACTATAATTACAAAATTGTGGAATGTAACATTCAAAGGTAAATGCTGAATCAGGTAAGGCCTGTTTTACCGGGTAATTAATGACAAAAGGTAGGAAAAGCACTGTGATTCTCTCGCTATGACATGGAGCTCTTCTACAGGTGGGGCTGCAGGAAGAGGCCATGCCCAGGGTGGCATGTATTTTCCTCAGAATGCCATCAAGTTCATTAAAATATCCAGACACTTAGAAAAGCATGGAGACTCCCCAATTTACTTTATCCCATGAGGAGATCTGAGAGAGAGAGAAAAGTAGATGGGTCAGCTGACCCACGCATGATAGCTACTTTTCTCCTATCTGGCTCACTATATTAAGTTCAGACATAAAAAGTCATTTCTTAATCAACTTTCACTAGTAGGCTCTGCTTTTAGGTCAGCTTTCTAGGTCTTTGCATTGATTCAAAGAGAAAGTTGTACTAATTTAGCACATTTCAAATGGGCTAGAAACACAATAGGGAACATTTTCAACAAAACAAATGAGCCTATTTGTCCTTACTTCTCGATACACCAAAGTGCCTTACTCGAACTCATCCATTTTGAAGCAATTTTTCCACATCCTCTCAAATTCAGTTGTGTACCAGGTAAACAACTCTCGTGGATGGTTTTTCAAATGTGAGCTTTTCATTTGCTTGTTGAGGGTCCAACGAAATAGTTAAGATTTTACAGTCTTGTATTATGATGATAAAATTTGATTTTGTCTCTAGCATCTACTTACCACAAATATATTCACTCTCTACCTTGCATAATTTGAGATGCACCACAAAAAAACATAAAGGTCTAAAGCATCTTCGGTAAAATCCAGTTATTAATGTGCATGGCCTTTGAGGTTAACAAGTACCGTCCTTACCATGTACAGGAACTGAGGTAGTTAACACATGAAGTCATCAGTAATCAAGTTACTTTCCTGGAAACTGTTAGGAGAGATAAGTTTTGGTGGAAATGTGAGACTGATTGAGTAGAGAGTAGAAAAGATGGCCTAGTTCCTCAGGCAGGTCATTGCCTTTGAAGACAGGCTTGGGTGGAGCTCAGTAGGGACAAGGGACAGGGGTGAAAGGTAGGGTCAGTCAGAGAAGATGAAATGCCACATGTGGGTGAGCTCTGGTTGTGGGAGGAAAGACAGGCGTGTTAATGAGTTAAGACAAACCCCAAAATGTTAGGTTATTTTGCTATTTGGTTCAAAACCTGTTTCACAGCTTCTTGCTTGGAATTATGCCTGGGGCCTTATCTTGCCTGGAATCCTGGTAGGACTTTCAGACACACTTAGATGGAGCTCTTCATTCAGCCACTGAACTTTTGCTTTGCATATAATCTATTAGATTCTGTCCATACCTCTCCAAATATGCCCCAACTCCCTAACTTAAACAGTTTCTCCTTTGTTGACAAACCAGTGGCATTCTCGAGTTTCCTTCTCAGCTGCTCCCATCCCCAGAGCAGGCCTCTGGGTGACCTGCAGCTTTTCTTTCCTGTCTGTTCTCTTCTCTCTCCCAAACCTACTCTCTAACCCTAATCCAAAGCCTCACTGACAGTGGATTTTACCCCTTTACTGATATAACCTCACAATTTCTCCTTCTGAATCAACTTAAGAAAATGTTGCCCCAGTTTATTACAGAAAAGGGCAAACAACCAAAGTAAAGGCTGGAACAGGGGAGAAAACAGAGAAATCCAGTGTTACAGCACTGCTAGTGACATTTTTTGGAGATTCTCTTTCCAGTCCATATTTTCCTTAAGTAATATCTACATCCTAGTTATAAATCTTGCCTCACCCAAAATGCTGCTGTGTTTTATAAAGAAGTAGAGGAAATCTGGGGATTGGGATTGTATTTCTTTCTTTTCTGGATATCAAGATTGTACCAAAATGAATGAATTATAATTCCAAGTTATTGGGCTTAAAAAATCAAATTACCTTAATAAGAAATAGTCTAAAATAAAATGTCCTTGGTATCCCAGAGAACCCTTGAATGAGGTGGCAGACTCGTTTCAGGTTGGTCTTCAATTTCCTAAGCATCCTGTGTCAGTAACTTTTCCCTGAATCTCAGTGTACTCATTCATGATATGGGGGTAATAATACCTATGTCACCGAATTACT